CAGCGCTCAGCGCTGCTGGGGCTGGCGGCGGTGGGAGGGCGGAGGGCAGATGGGGTACGTGGCTCTGTACCTGCTCCAGGCTCTCGTAGTCCAGCTTGAAGGCCCAGAGCTGGAGCCTGGCTGTGAGGTCGCTGATGGAAGACAGGGCAAGCAGGAACTGCTCCGCAGAGCCCAAGGGCACATCAGGGTTGGCCAACTGGGCCTCCTGGATCTTCTGCTTCTCCTCCTCAGTCGGGACCATGGTCAGGATTTTCTAAAGCAGGCAAAGAGGGACGTGTCAGACTCCAGACATGTCACCATGGGACATGTCACCCCAGGGCTGGCAGCACAGGCATCATGGCATGGAGGTGTCCTGGCCAGGGGAGACAACCTGCATGAGGACATCAGAGGGGCCGAGCTTCTCTCGTGCTCACCTCAATCCCTTCCTTATTGACTGCAAACTCGTCAAAGTTGAGCACAGCTGTTTTGATGATGTGCACGGGTGGCAGCACCGTGAGGCCAATGTTGATGGCGTTGCTCCTCTTGGGGTCCAGCACCACCACCACCTTCTTCCCATCGATGGCCTTCTGCAAAGAGGACAGGATGGATGGGGACAGCCAGGCAAAGGGCTCACCTTCATGAAAACACCATGGACACAGGGAGCCGATCAGGGACCCAGTGGTGAGCCAAACCTCCGCACTGCCCATCACCGTCCCCACGGAGCCTCCGGGCTGCGGGTACCCATCCTCAGCACAGGGTAGGGGTGACAGTGCATGCCTAGGGTCCCCACAGGAGCTAACAGCCTTCCTCCCACCCCTCAAGTCCTCTTGGCTGACGAGTGCCAGCCCGCTGGTACCTTTGAAGTTGGCACTTCCTTTGACCGTGACTCAAAGAGATGCTCCAGTTTGGCAGCATTGACCTCAACGTTCTGCAGGGACGCCCACAGTGTCGCCTGGCCAAACCTGCCTGGCCCCACGGTGCCATCCAGCTGCTTCAGCTCCTTCCAGAAGAGCTTCACTGTCCTCTTCTTCTTGGCCTGGGAGGGGCCATCCATTGCTGAGAGGCCTGGCAGCCCTGGGGGGGGTGGGCAGCTGGGGACCGCAGGGGGTGGAGGTGGAGGTGGTGGGCAGCCAGAGACCGCAGGAGGTGGAGGTGGCGGCGGAGGGCAACCAAGGACCGCAGGAGGTGGCGGGGGAACCATGAGAGCTCCAGCGCTTGTTGCTTCAATGCCGGGATGAAGGAAGGAGCTGTTGGCCATGGGCGCCGTGTCCAGGATGTCAAAGTCTTCTTCTTCCCCCAAATCAGTGAAGTCCAGGTCCTTGATCTTCAGCTGCCCGGGGCTGGCCTCCAGGCGCTCCCACGTCAGCTCCATGTCCTTCTTGATAGGCATCATCCCGGTGTTCTCCAGCTTCTGAGTGTGGGTCTCAGCATCTACGCCGGACATGGCACGCGCCAGCTTGGCGTGGGCACTGGCCACTGGCCCGTCTGGGGCCCTGCCATGGAGCCAGGCGCCCTCCTGCTCCCGGCTGCAACCTCCCTCGGCGTCCATCTCCACCTCACTCTGGACCAGGGGGGACGACGGGACCTCAGGGAAGACCTTCTCCCTCCCCGGCTCCGAGGAGCCCTTGGCGTAGAGCATGTCCAGCATAAACTTGGTGTCGGAGGAAATGGTGCTACAGGAGTCGGTGGTGTCCAGCCGAGCCAGGTGAGACCCTGCAGGGAGAGGGGAAGAGGCTGGGACAGCCCACTTGGAGGGGGCAGGTGCTGCTGGGCTGCACATAGACTTGGGGTCCTGCTCCCCAGCGGGGTGTGCTCGGATGCCAGCGTTCGGAGTGGGAAGGGGAGGTACTACCCAGCTCCTCCATGGCTCTGGGTATCACAGGCATGGAGTGGGGGCAGAGGGGCCACTAATGCCCACCCCAGGGACCCCGATGAGCCCAGAGCCAGGAACACACATGCCGGCAGCACCTACTTATGCTGGGTGGCACCATCCCAGGCTCAGGGGTGCCGCTGTCCCTGTCCCACGTGAGAGCGGTGGGATGCTCCAGCATGGCATCACCGAGGACATCGAGCCGTCCCTTGGCCATGGAAGAGATCTTCTCCTTCTGGGCTGCGGCCAGGTTCTCCAAGAAGCGAGCTCTGTGAGACAGGGGTGGATGTTGGCCGGGAGCAAGGCAGGGATGGGGACGATGGGTCAACCACACCATGCCACACTGCACAGCCAGCCCCGCAGCACAGAAACCCCCTGCACTGGCCACACCACATCAGGGATCCGGAGGATTCAAACTCCTCTGAGCCTTGCAGAGAGACAGGTGATGCCACCACGGCTCGGGGACAGGGATGCCACAGTCCCATGGGAGCTGAAAGCTCATGCCGTCAGGGTGCCACCGTCACCTGTTGGTCCCAACAGACCTGGTGCTCACTGCGACCCTCATCCAAAAGCCGCAAAACCCAGGAGGGCACCCGGGCAGAGACTCGGGGGGACCCTCCTGCTCCTCATGCCCTGCGTGGCCGGAGCCCAGACACCTCCGGCTGGGCAGCAGCCTGAGGAAGCGCATGCCTGGAGACACACGCATGCCTCTACTTACTCAAACTTCCTCAAAATAGGCTTGTCCCCACGCAAGGAGGGGGCATCCTCCCGCCTGAGGGAAAACAGGGGTTAGCCCCCACTGCCGGCAGCCCCCTGGGGGCTCATGCCTCTTGCACGCACCTGCCTGGCAGCCCTCCAGCGTGGGACCCTCACCCCACCATCACCCCATGGCCCTGGGGTTCACGGGGAGCCGGGAGAGCCCCAGCGAGTCCCCTCCTGCCCAGGCACTGCATGGCATTGGGTGCTGGCGAGACGAGGCACTGTCCCCCCCACCAGAGCCACCCAATTTGCCACCAGGATGGCAATGCCAGCTCCCTGCCAGCCCCGGGGCGGGCTGTGCCACCCCCAGCAGGGACACCTCACCCCAGAAGGGGGGGATCAGAGGGTGCCATCACCCCATGGGGGGATGCTGGCGATGGGGGGAGCAGGCTGGGGTCCCACAGGCAGAGCTCAGAGGGGAGAGGCAAAGGATGGGGGCAGCGAGGTGGGCGCAAGGGGCAGCGAGGTGGGGCAGGGCAGTGCCCACTCCTGCCGGAGCATCACTCCAGGAGGAAGCACACGCATGCAGAGCCTGGGCACTTACCAGACAGGGGCAGTTTGGTGCAGCCTGCAAAAGGAAAGATAGAAAGAGTGGGCAGAGTAGAGAGCAAGCGTGGGCAGAGAGGAGCAGGAAGGAGGAGCTGGAGCAGAGCTGTGCGTGCCCAAAGGATGCCCTGGAGCCCCTGGCTGGACCCTCTCAGATGCCCACTCCCCCATCACGCTTCTCTCCAGCCCCATTGCTTGCCCAGACTCTCTTTCTCCCTGGGAGCTCCCCCACAGCCCCAGGGGAACCCTCCATACACCCAGCCCCTCCTGGCTGCTTACTTGTAGATGCTGCGCTCGCCTGGGCCCGGGGGCTGCTCCTTCTCAGCTGGAGGGGAGGCCAGGGCCAGCCGCACGCTGGACGCGCTGTTGTAGACACTGACTGGACAGGGTCTGGAAGAAGAAGTGACAGGGACTAAGAGCAGGTCCCACAGGGCTGCCCTCCACCCTGGCACCAGGAATGGACCAGAGCACCGCATCCCAGCGTCTTCGCCATCCCGGGAGCATCCCTGCCACGGACCACCTCCAGCTGTACTTACTCTGCGGGGCTGCTTGGTGCGGGGACAACTGGGGTGTCCTCGGTTGGGGGCTCCTTCGGGGTGCCAGGGGACCCCAGCAGCGGCTGGGCATCAGGGCTGGGCTCTGGGCAGCCACCCTGGGATCGCCACCCGCGCCGGCCCTCATCCGTCCTCCTCCGCTCCTTGCGCCCCCCCGGGGGCAGCTCCTCCACCCCATCCTCCAGCTTGAGAGCACTCTGCGGAGGGGCCGGGGGGGCATGACACCAGGCACGGCACCCCTGCCAGCCCATGAACCAGCCCTCCCCGTGTCCCCACGCAGAGCCTCAGCTGGTGCTGGGTGATGCCCTGCCATGGGACATGGCGCGTGGGCAGATCCCGCTCACGGGCATCACCCGAGGGAGTGATACTCACTTCGTAGAGTGAGAACTGCTGCTTCAAGTCGAGGTCGGTGCCCTTGCTGCCCAGGTACTGCTGCACCACCCGCTCCATGCCCTGCTGCTCCAGGCAGTCCGTCACGTCGTAGAAGGTGTCCTGGTCTGGGAGGGCTGCCAGCGTCTGAGCAGGACCAGAGGGACGCTGCTGGGACCGGTGTGACCCACGCTGAGCCCCACCAGCGTGGCATCACGGGGATACCCTGCCACCCCCCTGGACCTTGTTGATCAGCGTCATGGTGAACACCAGCAGCTCCGTGTCAGCCCCGTTGCGTTGCTCCAGGATGGCCATCAGGTTGGACCACGGGCACGTGCCTGAGAAAAGCGACACGTGAAGGTGACATGCAGGCCATGGGGGTGGGGGGGACACACTGTCCCCCAGCAGGGACCTCACGGGCAGCTGGGTCTGCACCCACCTCTCGCCTGGTCCACGGCGTTGACAGCACAGATGAGGAGCAGGGCGTTGGCCTCCGTGTACTCCACGAATACCAGCAGCAGCTTCAGCGCCATCTTCACCACCAGGCGAAACTGGGAGAAGGGATGGCGGCTGGGCCGGCGGCAGGGGGCTGCCAGTGCGATGCCAGGGCACTGCAGGGTGGCTGTGCCCATGCCCCAGGGCTAGGGGCTTTGCCGTGTGGCCAGGGACCAGCCTGCAGCTGTGATGCTGATGGCCAAGGGGCACCAGGAAGGGACCCGGAGTGAGACCCTCTTACTCAGGCTCTGTGCCCAGGAGCATGGTCACATCAGGACGGGGAGCTCTGGGGATCCTGGGTGACATTCAGATGGGTGGGAGTAGGACCCAACATACCCAAAGGTGCCAGGGCACCAAGCCTGAAGGCAGAGGGTGGGGTAAAGTCCCCGAGGGATGGTGCAAGGGGACAGCCACAGGCATGGGTGCAGCGGGGGGCACAGGCAGCCCCCCCAAGGGCAGCAAGGGCTTACCGGGCTTCCTGACAGCGTGTACAGCCACTGGACGGTCTCGTTGTGGTTAATGACACCCTGCATGCCGTCCATGAAGAGCATGATCTGGCTCAAGGCTGCAAGGCAGAGGGCGGGCAGGGTCACGGCTTGGCGGGTAGGGCTTTCCCAGCCCCACACAGCATCACCACGACAAGGGCAAGGACTGGCAGCTGCCTGCAAGGTAGCCCAGGCAAACTTGCTTGCTCGCCCCCCCCAAGTGCCAGCCTTCCTCCCCGGGGATGAGAGGTGCCCTCTACCCAAATACCAACCCCGGAGGATGTAATTCTGGTAGTTCTGGTCGGCTTCTGCCCCCACTTTGATCAGGCACGTCAACCCATCCAGGTTCACGAACTCCGGCACCAGGTCCTTGTCCTCCTGTGGGGCAAAGGCCAGGGGTTACTGCAGCGTGGGGAGGCAGGGGTGGGCATCCAGCCCCAGGGGAGCTCCCCCAAGCCCCCCACCGTGCTGGCATCACCGTACCTGAAAGAGCTGCTTGAGGGAGAAGAGGGAACGCCGCAGCTCCGGCCCCTGTGAGTTGTACAGCTTCTCTGGAAGGAAAGGAGAGACGCGGCGTGACGGCCTGACCCACAGGGGCTCGCTGCTGAACCGGGGCTCCAAAATACTCCTGGCTGCCTGGGAAAGCCCCACATCCCAGCTCAACCCCTGTGCCATCACCCCAGGATGCCGGCACTGCCTGGCTGTCGGACACACAGGGTGGAAGCAGCTGCAGCTTCACAACTACTTATTTCAGCCCTGCCACCTCCCTATTTCTTTTTCTTCTTTTTTTTTTCTGCCCAGCAATGACATAAATATCCCGTCTGGTTTCCTGTGCAGAACCGAAACAGGAACACGGGCAGGAGGCAGAGCTACTTTTAGCCGTCCCTCCCCGGGCACAGTCCTGGCACTGTCCCGGAGCCCCCAGCAGCCCCGCGGCTTGGGAAGAGCTGCAGGATGGGGGCGGGAAGGACGGCAGCGTGACACCGGCTGCTTGGGGACAAAAGGACGGTCACCAGGCTGGATGGAGACTATATGCTCGTGGGGACGGTGCCTGCGGGCAGGAGCCAGCATGGAGCAACCAGGGCAATGGGAAGCTAGAAAGCCCTGCCTAAACTAGTGGAGACCAAAGGCGTCGGGAGCCAGTGCTTCCCGCATCCAAAAATTGAGTTATCCGAGCATCCCGAGTTATTTGGATGTTATTTATATGTTATTTATAAAGTTATTACAGCTTATATAATAATATAAAGTTATTACAGCTTTAGAGCTGTAACAAGCCAAAACCAAGCTGTACAAGGAGCCCTCCAGACATGCCCACGAGGGCTCTGTAAAACACAAGGTCCCGGCAGCCTCCTCTGCTCGCTTCTCGGCTTTTCAGCGCAGCCGACAGGGAAAGCAGAACAGCTGAGAGGGAAAGCAGAACAGCTGAGAGGGAAAGCAGAACAGCTGAGAGGGAAAGCAGAACAGCTGAGAGGGAAAGCAGAACAGCTGAGAGGGAAAGCAGAACAGCTGAGAGGGAAAGCAGAACAGCTGAGAGGGAAAGCAGAACAGCTGAGAGGGAAAGCAGAACAGCTGAGAGGGAAAGCAGAACAGCTGAGAGGGAAAGCAGAACAGCTGAGAGGGAAAGCAGAACAGCTGAGAGGGAAAGCAGAACAGCTGAGAGGGAAAGCAGAACAGCTGAGAGGGAAAGCAGAACAGCTGAGAGGGAAAGCAGAACAGCTGAGAGGGAAAGCAGAACAGCTGAGAGGGAAAGCAGAACAGCTGAGAGGGAAAGCAGAACAGCTGAGAGGGAAAGCAGAACAGCTGAGAGGGAAAGCAGAACAGCTGAGAGGGAAAGCAGAACAGCTGAGAGGGAAAGCAGAACAGCTGAGAGGGAAAGCAGAACAGCTGAGAGGGAAAGCAGAACAGCTGAGAGGGAAAGCAGAACAGCTGAGAGGGAAAGCAGAACAGCCTGGGGCTCAGCTGGAGCCTGGGAACCGCTGGCAAAGAGCACGACCCCGACCTCGGCCTTCCTGCAGGGAGAGGGCTCCGTGCTGTGCCCCTTCCCGCGCCGCTCAGGAAGCCGATGCCCAGCCGGCATTGCTCTGCTCAGCGCTTGTTTTCTCCCCTGTTGAGGAGAAAAAAGGCTTGAGACTCCCAAATATTTTGCAGGACCTCCGAAGGGGCTGCCCAAAGCCGCAGCAGCACTTTCTGCTGCACTCGAGCTATTTGTTTGTATCCTGCAAAGCTATATTTAGAGTTCGCCTGAATAACCCAGAATATCTGCAGCGGATGGTGGGCTCCCAGCTGAAGAGGCAAAGTCCCAATCTCTGAGGATGGAGGGGATTAACCCACGAGCCTCATGGGGACCGTGTCTCCTGCACTTCTCGGGGCAGGGGGGGGGTTACGGGGCGGGAGCAGCCCTGGGCTGTATCGCTCCCTCTCTCCATCACAAAAAGTCTGGCCAAAACTCACCGCGGAGACCAATACCCCACCGTCTGGGGGGACCGAGCTGCCGGACCCACACCAGCCCGGAGGAAGGAGCATCCCTGGACTCACCGATGATGGCGTGGACTCGGACGGAGAGCTGTGTGCGCAGGATCAGGGTCGGCCGTCTCCCCTTCCTAGGGTGGGGGCAAACACCACGTGAGCACCTGCAGCGGGACCACCGCGGTCCCCAGCGCTCACATGCATGTGGGGTCCCCATGTCCCATCCCCGGAGGGCTCGGGCACCCCGCATGCCTCACCTGACCTCCTCGTAGAAACCCTCCAGATCATCCTTCTGCTCCAGCAGGGACAAGTCAAGGTCCAGGTAGTGTCCGGAGGGCGAGACCTGCAGCGTGCAGTCCTCCAGCTGGGGATGCAGACAGCCCAGCTGAGCCCCTGTGCCCACCACGGGGTCCCCATGTCCCATCCCCGGAGGGCTCGGGCACCCCGCATGCCTCACCTGACCTCCTCGTAGAAACCCTCCAGATCATCCTTCTGCTCCAGCAGGGACAAGTCAAGGTCCAGGTCGTGTCCGGAGGGCGAGACCTGCAGCGTGCAGTCCTCCAGCTGGGGATGCAGACAGCCCGGCTGAGCCCCTGTGCCCACCATGGCCCTCCCGGCTCCCAGAGGATGCAGCATCCCCGGGTCACCCTCCCACCCGCACCGAACCCACCAGCCAGCCACATTCCGGAGCGGGGTTGCAGGTCCCACCCTGTCCTCGAGCGCTGGCCCCGCAGGGAGATGACCCGACACCCTCTGCCCCAGCCCAGTGGCAGATTGAGGGAGAAATGTGGAGCCCCAGGCTGGGAAAAGGCAGAGCGAGGGCGGCCCCACCGCCGCCAGGCTCCTTGGCAATCCCTTGGGCGGGAGCCACGGCAAGAGGCTGATCCGCTCCCTGGGGCTCTCCTTAGTCAGCCAGGGTGTGACCTGGGCAGGATCAGTCTCCTCCCAGGGCTGGTGCCTTCGCCTGGGCAGATGAATCACCTTCTCTTGTGGGGACTGGGTCGGTGGGAACTGCCAAGGCACCCAGCCAGGCCAGGGACACCCCAAACCAAGGCAAATCCCACAGGGATGTCCCCCGGCTGATGCAGCCTCTGGCTCAGCCTGCAGCCACGTAGTATCTTCCAGCGGGACGGGGAAAAGCACAGCCTGAGGCAAGGCTGGGGCAAGGGCATCTACCCTGAAAGTCCACGTACAGCACCCACGGTGCACCCCGGCCAGCGGGCACAGCACCCAGAGGTGCTCCAGGCACGGCACCCACAAAGCCCCTGAGCCACCTGGGACCCAGCAGCACCCCACAGCACCCAGGCAGGTCTCCTGGGTGAGCTCCGGATGGGACAGGGGAATTTGCCCTCAAGGTGTGAGCAGAGGCAGAGGGAGGGCAGTGCCTGCCTGGCCTTGCCAGCACCCCTGTCACCCCAGTGCATCTGGTCCTGTTCCGAAAGTGTTTGTAGCCCCCCCGCTCCTAGCTCACCCCACCTCCGAGGAACTGATGCTCCTTTCCAAATCTGCACAGCGGTGCTCTGTAACCACCTGGGGAGCTGAGGACCGGGGATAAAACCCTATTATTGGGTTTTAGATAAAACCCTGCCCTGCCCACCTTCGGGCAGGCTGGCGACCCACAGCAACGCTGAGTACAGCTCCTACATCTCACTGGGGTTGCTTTCCACGAAAGCTCCATCTCCTTGAGTCACAAGATAGTGCAAGAGCTCACATGTATGACTTCACTGCGAGCGTGACATTAAAACCAGAGGGCAAAGAAAAAAATGCCACGTGCACTAAAATAATTAATGACCCTGATTAAGCCTCGGGATAATGGGCAATTTGGCAGGGTGCTGCCGTTGGGTTGGACGCAGTTGCTATGTTGTCAGTGTCCTGCTCCACCTCCCGCGGTTGCTGGCCACGCCAGCCGGTCATGGCAACGTGCACCAAACACAGGCTGCTGGCACCGGGCAAGTGCTCCTGGCTGCCAGCTCTGCCTCCGCGGCGGGTACCGCTAATGCTGACCCCACACGGGGTTTGCTTGCTGGGGAAAGCTTCAATTCCTGCATGGGGAAAGGGCTCTCCTGGGCATCCCTGCATGCTCCTGGGCACAGGAGACCCCTCCTGCATCCCCTCGGGCATCCCTGCATCCCCCTGGGCACTCGAACACAGTGAAGAGCAACTCATAGCTCCAGCACGAAAGCTTTGCCTTCTCTGGGCTGCCAGAGCCCCGGCAAGCCGGAGTTAACGTCCTCGGCTCCTGCCGGGGCCGGTGACATGTCCCAGCTGGCGGGGGAGGCCAAGCCCCTGGGATGCAACCCCGCATGTTTCCCATGCGAGCTTGGCAGCGCTCTCCACGAGGGATGCTCCAAGCGCTGGGCCCGGGTTTGGCTGCGACCCCCCTGGTGAGCACCAGCCCCCAGGGATGGAGATGGGCTGTCCCAGGCTCACACTGCCCTGTCAAAAATCCCGGGGCTGCACTTCCGCGCCAGGGAGCATCGACTGCCCCAGGGCCGGGGTTACTCCCGCGCCCTCGGATGAGGTTTTGAACCATGCAGGATCTGAGCCGGGACCTCGGGGCTGTGCTGCTGGGGACGGCACGTTAGGGCCATGGGGTACTGACAGCTCCTGGTGCAGGGCGGCTGTGATCCATCTGTCTCCTGCTTGTAAAACCATTTTAAAACGAGCTGGGCTTTGAGGGTCGTGGGGACTTGCAGGCAAAGCGGAGCTGGGGGAGGCAGAGAGCGTCCCACGCTCACACCTCCAGCCTGTGGCTCCTGGGAGCCCCAGCCACCCCACAACGGCACTAACGTCCTCCATCCACCCTGTTGCCTCAAATCTGAGGCACGGGGAAGGTGGAAACACACGGATGTCCCTGATCCTACCAACACCCAGGAGCTATGGCCAGCTTCGAAGCTCAGCAAGGACACATGTGGCAGGCAAGCAAGTCCCCAGGGAAAACCGACTCCCCCCAGAGCAGGACTGTCCCCCCCAAACCACGGAGATGTGATGGAGACATCTCCACCTCCGAGACGGAGGCATCCTCCACCCACAGCTGCACTCACGCCACCCACCACGGCATCACATCTTCCTGCTCACCCCTATCACAGCATCCCCAAGCGGGAGGATGCTCCAAGGCCGGGCAGTGAGTATCCTCTTTATCTGCCAGCGGAGGAAACACTTTTCCCCGCTCTCTAACACTTTCTTTTTGTGGTAACCACAATTTCCCAACACCGCTGCGGCTCTTCTAGGAAGGCTATGGGGGAAATTACAGAAATATGTATCATTTGCTCCAGCTGAGGCAGCACTCGAGCTCGAGGCAGCAGTTAAACGGAAGGCACCGGCGGGTCAGAAACGCCCGGCATCACAAGCCTCTGCCCACCCTCCCAAAATACATGGGGACTGATGGTTTATAGAGCTACGCCGCAGGAGCAACCCCAGCCAGCAACTGAGCGCAGTCGCTGCGATTCGGTTTCAGGGCTAAGAGGGGTGTTTATTGCCAGGGCACTCGGTCGCTGGCTCCTGCCCGCTCCTGCCTGACGGATGGCAGCAAGTGGATGGGAGCGCTGCCATTGCCTTATCACAGGGGGCGGGGGGAAGAAAACCCAGGCCAGGAGGGATCTCTGGAGGTCACCCAGGGTTGGCCCAGAACTGCACACTCGCTCACACACGTCCCTCTCAAAGCTCCTCCAGCCAGGCTTGTTGCTCATTAACAGATCCCTCGTTTCTCATCAATAGCGGGAGGACCCCAGTCCTGGCAAGCAGCCGGTGTCCCGGTAAAGCCATGGCACGAGTGCCTGGCTGCAGCTCCTCTCCCAGGATTCACGTGAGGACTGTGCCGGGAGCCAGGGAGCACCGGGGGCTGCTGAGCACCAACACTCGGCTCTAAACATTCAGCAAGAAGCAGACAGCAGAGTTTCAAAGCCTGCCGATGACCCCGTCTCACTGGTTTTGTGCCTGCCAGAGGTTAAGAGGGGCAAAGACCCTCGGTGAAGCCCCCCTCGAGCCTGTTAGGAAACAGAGGACAAGCAGAGCTGGTGGGACGGGGCTTGCATGCTGCATGCATCAAGGTCGCCCCAGCAGCTCTCTGTCAAGCCCGAGAGCTCGCAGTGAGTGGAAGGACAAGCTTATGGCACCGAGGCCGGCAAGCTGTTTGCTCTTCCCCAGGTTTCCGGGGGAGGAAGGGGAAAGCAAAGCTCCAGCCCGCTGGGTTTTGCAATTGTTTGGAAAAATCCCTAGATTCAGAGGTGAGATAGTGCCGGGGGCAAGGAAGCACAGTGGCCTTTGGGGACCAAAGGGACAGCCAAAAAAAATCTGCCCTGCCAAAACCTGCCTGTGGAGGTTCAGAAAACCCCCACACCCAGCGCGAGCATCACCCAAGGGTACTAGAAAAATGCTGGAAAGCAGGAGAAGATAGTATCGGCCTGGAGCCGAACAATGCGGCGGCGACAAACAAAGCGGGAAGGTATTTTCAAGCACAAACACGCTTTCCGGAGAGCATGAAAAAGTCATCAGCAGTGGGTCGCGCTCGGGGAGAGGAAGCAGCGAGGGTGTCGCGGGGCAGGACAGGCTGTTCAAGGCAGAGATGCCGGCACGAGAAACCCGTTCATCATCTCTGGGCTGTTCCCAGCCCAGGGAGCAGCTTTGCTGTGCCCAGGGAGGGCAGGACCCGGCTGGTCCCCCATGGCAGCTCATCCCCTGGGTGCCTGCGGTTCGGTCCTCCTCCGACGATGCGGGGACCCCCAGCCCAGCTCCCTCTCGGCCGTTGCGTCCTCCCCCCGGTGCTTTGCAGCTCCGGGCACGCTGCCCAGCAGGACAAGCCTGGCACCGGGCATCCCCAGCTGAATTTTTTTACAGCCAGTTCCTTGGGAAAAATCCGACTGTTCATTTACTAATTTTAGGGCAGCGAGTAATGGAGCTAAGCGCTACCTGGCACAAAGGGCACCGAGGGAGGTTTCAGCTGGTCGTGCCAGGGTAACGACGTCTGCATGGCTCTGGGGTGCTAGCTCCAAATTTGGACTGAACCGTGTGGTTCAGGAGACCAACCTCGCTCCACAGGGTGTAAATCCTGCTGCAGGAGTCTCCCGATGAAGACAGCCAGCATCCCAGCTTGTCAGGCTGGGACGTACCGCAGCCCTCGCTGGCTCAGAAAGCTCCGTGTAATAAAGGTAGCATGGTTTATAACCTATATAAACCAGGAATCTGGCTTTTTTAAGCTAGGACCCAGAGCAGGGTCCTAGCCGCTCACCTGTGATTTTACCAAGGGTCATGGGGTGATGCAGGGAAACTACAGAAAAAAAACATCCAGAGCCTGGCTTAGGCAGAGAACAGAGCCTGAAATCCCAGGATCAACACGCCTCTGCCGGGCACAGGATCTCCTCGCAACGTTGCTGCCCTCGGGAACGCTGCATCCAGCCCCCGCCGTGCCACCACGGCAGCACCCCGGGCTGGCGATCCTGTTACAGCTAGCTCCTGCCCAGGGAGGAGAGCACATGCCCTGAAATTTGAGTTTGCTCCATTCATCGTGTCTCGGAGCTGTTTGTTCCCAAACAAACTCCATTTAGTCACCACCTAAAAATCCCATGACGGCAATGACATGAGACACTGCTGCTTTGCTCCAAGAAAATTTAAAAGGGGGATAAAAGGGATGTCTTTTGGTGCAGGCAAAGGTCTCACAGCGATCCCCTCTCCCCTGGCAGGCCAGCAAACTTGGTGCCAGGCACACCGAGCCGATTTCCCCCTCCTGCTGCCCCCATCTCTCCTGTCTGGCTCCAGGCAGGGCACACTCCCCCTGCCTGCCTGGATTCCTGCCTCCCTTGCCTGCACTCCTGCAAGACAGAAATGCTCAGCCATTGCCAAAGCTCTGCTGGGTCCCGCGTTCGTAAGGAGGAAAACAAGCCCGTCCCCATCCTGTAAAGGATAAAGGATGCTCTGAAAGCATCACGCCAACAGAAGATACCCAGGAGGGAGGGTCCCCCATCTCCTCCACTCCCCAGCTTGGATCAGGCCTGAGGGCACGCAAGCAAGACAGGGCGCCTTGCCTCAGCCTCCTGCCTTCCTCCCGGCCAGCCCCTGCTCCTTCCTGCAGCACAGCGAGGGGTGCATGCGGGGCGCAGGCCCTCCGCTCGACCACCCCGGCCGGAGGAAATCACTCAGCACGAATTTCCGCGCAGCTCTCTAGCGGCAAAGCTGCCCCCGCACCGGAGGGGCGAGGGGCTGGTGGCCCTCCGGCTCCACCGTCACCTCCCCGAGGCCCACACGCTGCATCGAGCGGGGACGCTGGCCGGGTCCCCGGCGTCAGGGAGCCGGCGTACTCCCGTCGAGGCTCAGCTCTGCTCCCGGTAGCCGGCATGGAAGGGGAACGCTGGGGTGGGAGCACGCTGCCTGGCTCAGCCCCGACGACACGGGGATGGACGCCTGCCCTCATCCTGCTTCCCCCTGCCCGGGTTCTTGCCTGCTATAAGCAAGCACATCCTCTTCCTCCCCGCCGACTCATCCGGGGCCGGCTGAGAATTGGCACCTCCCGCAGGGTCTCACGGATTCCACCGTGACTCACACCGGGAGCGCTGCCCGGGCCCCGGCGGGAACACACCGGCCCGTCCCTCGTCCCCCCCCCGCTCCTTCCA